AGTCTAGAAGTCTAGAAGTCTAGAAATTCTAGAAGTCTACAGAAGTCTAGCAAGCCCAGCCCAGAAGTCTAGAAGTTTAGAGTCTAGAGGAGTCTAGCCCAGGTCTAGTTTAGAAACAATTCTTAAACATAAAAATTGAAAACTTTCCCTAAATCCCCTCTTTCTTTTCCCATAAAACCCACAAACAGCTTTCCCCTTGCTACTATTTTAGTTATCAATTAGAAGGAATTTCCTGGAGATGATTCACTTTTAAGGCGCGTTCTAGACCGATCACATGTTATAATACTTAGAATTTTTATTGCAGGTTTATCCTTGAATCAGAAGACAAGAAGCAGACTCGATTAGGGAGGCGATCAGGGAACAAACAGAAAGACACCACGCGCAATCACCTTACGTTTATTCCAATCGAATTTGTATTCTCGTTTTTCACAGCACCGATCGTTTCTGTGAGTTTTCTTGAGAATCCTTTGCGGTTGGTTGTACAGGGTATGGCGAGGGATCAAGATATTCCCTTCCTACCAGCTCGAGAAAGAGATTAGTAATATTATGCGCCCCTTCCACCCACCCCATCCCTTAGCTCTTCCCCCTCTCTTTTACCTTCTTTTTCTTGCTGAAAGCATTCGGAATAAGGTCGAAAAAGGGGTTATGGCGGAATGGAGAATCCGCCTGGTTCTGTCAATTTTAGCCTTCACTTGTTTTCAATCAATCTTGTTTTCTTTTCTTTTTCAAAGCAATGATCGCTTCGTCATTTTCTTAGATTCCTTCGTGATTGGTTGTGGGCGTATGAAGAGGGGTCGATATTCGTCCCCGAGGAGCTCGACAAAGAGAGGGGCTGGCTAGCTGCCCCTCTCTTTCTCGAGTTTTCCTTTTGCCAAATGGAGGGATAGGGGTCCCTTCCCTCACCTCTTCTTCTCTTTGCCAAATGGAGGAGGGGGGATAGGGGAAATTCTTTGTTACAGCCAGAGAGACAGGCTAACCAGGGAAGAGTAAAGAGTCAAAATTCAATATCGATAGAAAAAACCGATAGCAAATCGAACGGGCAATCCGAATTCAAAACGAGAAATCTATTAAAAAAGGATTTGAATAAATCTTTTTGAAACGAAAATTTAGAATTCAATTTCGAAATCGTGAATTCTGAAGCATTTGCCATCAACTTCATTGATTACAAAAGATCATTAAAGATAAAATAAAAGAAATGATTAAAGATAAAGATTTGAAAGTTGTTTTTGTTTTTGTTGCTTCATCATACCAATGTTAAATCTATAAATGTTTGTTAGATTCAACTACTTTATAAGAAAAGTTTGTTTGAAATCAACGAGCAGGCATTCTAGAATTTGTAAATAAAACCAAATATTATAAGAATTGATGCTGAGCAGTTGCTAAAAGTAGCAATTTAAAAGGAAAGTATTTCAAAAAATGTTATATCAAATTTTAGAGTGAAGCGGTGGACATTGCCAGCTACAAATCTCCAAAGCCAGATCTCAGCGAACTATTCCAACGGAAGCACGAATTTAAAAGATCTCTAGTCTTCATATCTGTGAAAAATTTGCATTTTTATCGGGTTATTGTTGATGAATTTGATGAAGAAGATTGTTTAATTCTTAATGTTTTCAATAAATCTTTTCAAACGTTTTTTCCATTTCCCTATGGTATTTGATACCTTATTTCTACCTTATTTGCATATTTTTGCTTATGAATCGGCTAGATTTGACTTAGTAATCAGCTAGGTTTGACTTAATTAAACCTCTCTTCTCAATTGAGCTTTTTAGAAGAGGAGGAGCTCTTTGGAAATGGCGGAAACTGAGGTCAATGCTGCCCTGGAACAAGTGAGTGTTTCTCAATCTATTCGGTGGACCGTGTAGCTTGAGAAACACTCACTTGTTAGCCACGGTTTTCAAGAATTACGGGCACTTTTCCCCTAGTCCTTGGCTCCGCTTAGAGTTAACCATTCTCCCTAAAACATCAAACTTTCAACACTCACTGCGATACTTTACTCAGAAACTCAAAATTAGCAATTCTATAGAACTTTAAATCTCCAAGACTCGAGAGCCACGGACACGGGGCTTCTTGTAAACAAATTTTGAACGAGATCTTTTAAATTAGTGTTCCCGTTGGAATCGATCGTTGAGACCTGGCTTAGGAGATTTGTAGCTGTTTTCGAAGGGCTTCTCGCTCTGCTTGTCAGCCTTTTTCCTGGCAATGTTCACCCCTTCTCCCTAAAAATTGATATAACATTTCTTGACATACTTCCCATTTAAATTGTTATTTTAGTAACTGCTCAATATCAACTGGGTGAATGGAATCGGGAACCAGAGAACGTTTCGATCTCCTTCTCCTTGGAGTTTCATTCAAGTTGGCTTTTATAGGATTTGAGACTAGATGTTCTGCATCGAATAATAGAAAATTGAAACGCCCTTGAAACCTTCTCCTTGGGGTTTTATTTAAGTTGGTTTTTATAGGGTTAAAAACCAGATGTTCTGCATCGAATAATAGAAAAAGATAGCCAATCTTTCACAGAATTTAGAGGAAACCCGATGAATACAAAAATAGGACACAAGAAATCATTTATTTCTTCAATGGCAGTATTTAAAAATGAAAGTTTAAAGTAAATGGCAAAATAAACAAAGAGAAATCTGAGATTCTGAAATCAATAAATGGGAGAAATATCTTAATGAAAGAGGGGATAAAAGTAGATGGTGAGTCTAAAGCCTGTCGCCGAGATTTTCGGGAACGATCTTCTCAAAACCGAAGCTTACAGCGGGAGGATCAAGAGAATCCACAGGCTGCACGGGTCCGCCTAAATAGCTCTAGTTTTTCCCGTTTTTATCCTATTTTTCAATTAAAAAAACACAAAAATCTATATGTTTACGGAATATTGACCGGGGTAAAGACTCACTTTCCATTTCTGCGAGCGAAATTTGGATATTCACATCTAATTCCGGGATGTGATCCTGAATTTGGACGCCGTTTACAAGAAAATCGTCGAAATATCTGCATCCCTTAAGTAAAACTTGTAAAATAGTATATGTATCTAGAATTTAGAAGAGAAGTGTCGATCCTTCCGTCTTTCCGTCACAATCTGGATCTCGGCTCCCCGTAAACCGATTTCGACAAACTTAGGTGGGTTAGATTAGGAGGGTTTCTCGGCTGGTATGTAAATATATATCGTAGCCGTTTACGAATGAGGATATTTCCGGGCATTCAATCAAAAATGTCCATAATACATATATTGTTTCTACCCAGCCAAAAAAACTTGACTAATAGCTTATTTTGTAGCCAATTCGATGTAGATTTATAAAGTAAAGTCATCGCAAAGAATCGTCCGTTGAAAGTAGGAGGAAGAGGGCAAGAAACAATTTCAGGGCAATTCTCAAATGTGAAAACAGCGACCGAGTTCAACTGAAGTCGTTCCTTGCCCTCTTTCTCCTAGTTTTATATAACAAATGTTCAATACAGCGTTATTTTAAGAATCTGTATGTTAAGCGCTATCGATATCTAAGGATTAAAGCTTTCCTAGTTCTTCCAAACCTTACTTGTAAAGGCAGAAAAACGACAACGCTTGGATGATCGCTTGGAGTTTGTGTAAAAATTTCAAACTTCATTCGCTTCATACAAGACTACAAGGTGATTGCTCGAAAAATGAAATTTGTCCAAAAGTATGCCCATTTTTGTTAGCCAAGATAAGCTCACATTTGCAAAAATGGAGCTCAAAAAGCATTACTTTTATAGTAGTTAATTCTAAAAACGTATCAATGCAAAAAAAGTTTTTTTAGAAACTCCAAATTAAAATTTAACTGTTTTTTAGCATTGCATAGTATTTTTCTACGGTTAGGGTTGTCAAAATCATTAAAAACTTTTACCATCCTTCTATTCTATGTAAAATTACGTAGATTTTATGAATAATTGTTATTTTTCAGCTTAGTTTAATCTATTGTCTTAAAAAGCCAAAAAAGATGCATTAAGCGTAACACTAGATATGCTGCACTCTGTATGTAGTTGCCAGAGGCCTACTCAAGAAACAGTTTAGATTGAGAAACACTCACTTGTTCCAGGGCAGCATTGACCTCAGTTTCCGCTGGGTTTCCATTTCCAAAGAGCTCCTCATCGACCTCTTGCATGTTCTAAAAAGCTCAATTGAGAAGAGAGGCTTAATTATACTTGAATCATGTCGAATCCCAACGATGAACGAGAGTCAGACATCACTGAGTACAAAGTTTCATAAGCAAAAATATGCAAATCTTGAGAGAAATAAGGTATCAAATACCATAGGGAAATGGAAAAACGTGGTAAAAGATTTATTGAAAACAAAAACTAAACAATCTTCTACAACCCGATAATCCGATAGAAATGCAAATTCATCACAGAAATGAAGACTAGAGATCTTTTAAATTAGTGTTCCCGTTGGAATAGTTCGCTGAGATCTGGCTTAGGAGATTTGTAAATATTTTCGAAGGGGTTCTCGCTCTGCTTGTCATCCTTTTCCTTGATGTCCACCCCTTCACCCTAAAAATTTATGTAAATTTTTTAAATACTTCCCTTTTCAATTCTTGTTTCTAATAAACGCTTGTTACTGTATATGTTACGTCCGATCTAGACTCAGTCTGGATGAAGTTAGATATTAGACATCTAAGTTGCACTAGTGAATTCATAAAGCTCAGATTAATTTTGGAAAAAATCAAATTTCAGGAATCACCTGTACGAGAAGTTGATCAATGATTGACTTCCACTTCATTGAAACACCAGGGGGCAATTCGGGCCACACGTATTGTTGAGGAAATTCTCCCAATAATGGAGGCGCCTAGAAATGTCTGTTTTGCAAAAGATTCAATTTTAGTGATACTATCGTATATGTTAAATCGAAATTTTATTTAGATTCACCACGTGCATCGCTGGAGTTTCAAGGAAGAGCCTCTGTTGCATCCCCATCACCATTTCTTGTTGTTGCTGTGGCGGCTGAAAATCGAGGTGAGACTTTCTTTGATTACCGAGGATTTTTAATGTTTTACTCTAAGCTTTCTTAATTTTTGCTTGAAATTTTGTATTTATTAGTTCAGGCTACAATTTAAGTGAACTATACGGATTGAAGAGAGCCTAAAGAGCTAAACAAGGAAAACTGAAAAGTTTTAGGTGTTGAGACAAGGCAGAGCTTGTTTTTATGCGGCTTGTCGTCAACTAAAGTTGGAAGATCACGAAGCTATGGTTTGTGTTAATGCTTAAAATTTGAACCTAGAATCTAGAGCCCAAGGCTCTCTATTAAAATCTATTTAGTAACCTGGTCATCGTTGGTGACGGGACGGGGAAACCACGGAAACCACTCGATGAGTTTGCCTACGATGCTTTGCTCGCTTTTCGGAGACTTCTTACGCGATTCTTCAGGTGTGGCCATTTTCCAACTGCAATTTAAAAAATGAAAGCTGGCTTTTTATTGTTAAAAAAAGAAAAGTGAAAAGTTAAGGTAAAGGAGAAATCGATCGAGGAACGTGAAAGAGGAGAAAGAAGGAGATGAATCGATCGAAAGAAATATTCAAAGATTTGCACTCCAAAAAATGACAGACAACAATGCAAGGTTTGTTTCCCAAAATCTCCAAAATCTGTTAAAGAAAGCCAAAAATTTTCACAAGTGAAAACAAAACTTTTGGAAATTTGCATTACGTTTGGCCTTTCCAAAATTTGTTAGATGGTATTGGCTTGGCAAAATTGAAGCTTTTGCTATAATTTTTTGAGATCTGATTGCTTATGTTGGGTAAATTGTTAGACCAATCTATCAAGCCGTTTTCTCAAAATATTTTGTCAAAGATTTGTGAAAATATTGAATTTCAAGAAAATTCACTCCTTCAGCTAGCCTTAGGCTGGCTGACATTTTAATAGCTCAAATTCTCTCAAAATTTTAGTCAATTACGTCAGAAATATCAGAAAGAGTTTAAACCCGCCATTAGTATGTGGTATTAGTAGGGAAGGGGGAAATAGCTACAGTAAGTCAAGAGTATTGTCGTGTACTCTTGGGAGCTTTTCCCTAGGCAGAGTGAAGAGACTAAAAAGATTCAAATGATAAGAGTTGAGGGGAAATCGAGAGAGATTCGAGAAATGGAATAGAGAAATCGAGAGAGAAATCGAATAGAGAAATCGAGAGAGAAATGGAATAGAATGTCGCCATATAAATATTTTGTTTTCTTTTTCAAACAATGTAATAATTTGGTAATAGAAATTTAGGAAACGGTTTATAGTTAGAAGAAGGTTAGAGGGGCCCGCAGCAACAAAAAGTAAAGCTTTTCGAGCAGAGGGCCGGTAAACATACATTTCTTACAATCCCACTACAAAAAAGTTCGAATTACATATAAAAACTTGCGTCAGTTCAATCGGATTTGGTATGAAAACTTTTCTGGAAGGGACAGTACCTTTGACCAGGATTTATGAGTTGTCTAATCGGTATTGTTATTCATTGAGACTTCTTTTCTTCAGAAAAGAACAAATAGTAGGGGAAAGAAAAGAGAGGGAAATGAGAGTTTCTAGAAAAAAGGAGGGTTGAGTCAGCAAAGTGTTCGGAATTTTGGATTGCATTCGTAGAGTCTTCCGCTGGTCTACTATAAAGTAGAAGAGATCTCCACCTGTCTGTGCGATTGATAAAAAAACTTCTCTCTTCAGAAAAGAAGAGATGGGACGGCAAGAAAAAAAATAGAATTGCGTGGAAAACGTGGACCTCCCCAGTCAAAAATGCGAACGTTAGTGAGCGTTTTCCGCTGGTAATGGTATATGGGTATATAATGAGTATAATGGTATTCAGCGATCAGGTCTAATAATTGAATACGGTTAATGAGTTAAAGGAAGAAAGAGAGAGAAGCTAACCATTTTGCATAACATGAATTGGTTGATTTAAAACATAGATTTTGAAAATGAAATTCACTCTGGAACCGAGATTCCATCATTAGTTTAAGGCCTTCACAAAAGCTGTTAAGAAAGCTTTCGCTGTTAGCTGCTATGAAATCTAATTTCATTCCATTACATTTCTCATGAAAGAAGGTGGGTGTTGACCCACCGATCCATATTGAGATCATGTCACCCCCACCGCATCCCCAAACCCCTTTCCGGCCTTTCAGCTCATCATTCCCCCTTTTGCTTTTTCCTGGTTTTCCTTTTTCCCCGCCCACTTTTTGGACATTCACCAATCAACATTCAAATGCTTCTTTCAAAAAAATTTCGAAATATCTGCAGCGAGAATCTCCCAAACGTTTTTCTCCGCACTTTACCCCAAATCTCTCGATGTGTAGACACTGAAGAAGCCTAGAAGTCTAGAAGTCTAGAAGTCTAGAAGTCTAGAAGTCTAGAAGTCTAGAAGTCTAGAAGTCTAGAAGTTTAGAAGTCTAGAAGTCTAGAAGTCTAGAAGATAACGCAAACTTCAAGAAATCAAATCAATCCATCCTAGAGCATAGAAAATACATTTTTCTAAATTAAATTTCGTTTTAAAAAAATAAATTGAGGATTTTAAGTGATTTTTCTCTTTTCTTTTTCTAAAATTAGATTGATCTAACATCCATGATTATTTAAATTAACTAGCTTTGATGAAATAACTTAAAGATCTAGTCTTTATGTTCATTTTCTCAAATATTTAAAAAGATATTAATAAATGAGTCAAAAAAAAAAACCTTAACGAAAACCGGATTCGTATAAGTAAAGTATTATAGAAAAATGATGAGTGAACAGCTCTTTTGTAATGTCCTTCTCCGAGAAAACCACGCCCACCTTTTCCACATCCACCAATCAACATCCAAATATTTCTTTCAAAAATTAGGGCTCGATTAGGGAGACGACCAAGGAGAACAAAACAGAAAAAAAAGCAAAGCTTTTTCAAAGCAAAGATCGCTTTGTCATTTTCTTAGATCCCCTTGTGATTGGTTTTGGGCAGTATGAGAGGGGTTGATATTCGTTCCCGTCAGCTCGAGAGAGAGAGAGAGAGAGAGGGAGAGAGGGAGAGAGATGGGGTATGCTATCCCCCGCCCCTTCGCTCACCTCTTCTTCTTCCCTTTGCCGGCCTTTCTTGGCAAAAATTCTGGAGGAGGCTCGAAAATGTAGTTTGTCAGAAACTTCTTTGTTACAGCTAGAGAGACAGGCTAACTAGGGAAGAGTACAGAGTCGAACTTCGATATAACGAACCTCAAGCGTTCGGCCAAAAGTTCGTTATAAGTGCTCGTTGTATTAAAGATCATTTTAAGGTAAAACCCTTCGTTGGGACCAAAAATAGAAGGCGGAGCCAAGGACTAGGGAAAAGTGCCCGTAATTCTTGAACACCGCGGTGAACAAGTGAGTGTTTCGCACACTACACGGTGCGCCGTGTAGATTAGAAACACTCACTTGTTCGAGGGCAGCATTGACCTCAGTTTCCGCTGGGTTTCCATTTCCAGAAACTCCTCATCGACCTCTTGCATGTTCTAAAAAGCTCAATTGAGAGAGAGGCTTTATTATACTTGAATCATGTCGAATCCCAACGATGAACCAGAGTCAGACATCACTGAGTACAAGTTTCATAAGCAAAAATATGCAAATCTTGAGAGAAATAAGGTATCAAATACCATAGGGAAATGGAAAACGTCCG